AGGCCCCTTTTGGCGAGTTGGGAGGTGCTGGTGCTGGTATGGGTGAAGCACAGGCCACTGAACAGGTGCTGTGGTGCCCTTCCCAGGGTAGGGAGCAGGTGTGTCACTGCAGGGAAATGGGGAGCCCAGCAACGTGGAAGCCAGCACTCACCTGCCTTTGTGGGCTGAGGGCTTCCATGCTTGGGAGATGGGCTCTGCAGAGCTGTTCAATCCCAGCACTTCTTCCCCATGTTGTGAGCAAGGCCAGGCACCAGCCTCCTTGTCCTTGGGAGGGTAGAAGGCCAGGAGAGAGATGCAGGTGCTGATGCTCTGACCCTGACAGCACCTGCTCTGTGAGCTGGGGGGAAATTCATTTTAGCAGTGGTGGGCAGGGAGAGGTTTGAGCCAGGCTGGGCCACCCCTTGGTCCCCTCTCAGCATTTTTACCTCTGTGTTTGCAGGCCTGGGGATGGTCACTGCCTTCCTGTGTGTGTCCTGGTCTCTGCTGGACTATCACCAGTCTCTGCGCTCCTTCATGCAGGACAAGTGTGAGCTGAGCCTGGGCTCTTCCATCATCTACTTCCTGTGGAACCTCTTCCTCATCTGCCCCCGAATCCTCGTGGTTGCCCTCTTTGCCCTGCTCTGGCCCTACGGTGTGGCTGTCCACTTCCCACTGGTGTGGCTGGCCATGTTCCTCTGGGTCAGCCTGCAGGGCACAGACTTCATGGAATCACCCGGCCCTGAGCAGCTTTACCGGGCCATGGTGGCTGTGATCCTCTACTTCAGCTGGTTCAATGTGGCACAGGGGAGGACGCTGTACCGCAGCATCATCTACCACGGCTTCATCCTGGTGGACAGCACTCTGCTGGCCCTGGCCTGGCTCTGGGGCCGGGCTCCCTCTGAGGAGCACTCCTACCTCCTCCTGGTGGTCGCTGCTGCCCTGCCCTGCTACCTGCTGGGGCTGGGGCTGAGGGTCACCTACTACAAGTGGCTGCACCCCAACGTGCAGGTGCAGCAGGAAGGCAGATACGACGAGGTGGATGCCAGTGGAGGAAAGGATGGGATGGAGTTTCGCTCGTTTTTGGAACCAGACCTCGTGAACAGGAGGATGCAGTATTTGGCCCAGACCCACATCTCCTTGTCCCAGCTTGCACAGCAGCACTTCCTGAATGGAGCTGCTGTGGAGTCTGCTGTCTGAGGGCAGGTCCTCTAAAGAGACGTGAGGGAGGAGGTAAACTTGCTGCTCGTGCCCCTGGTTGTGTCCCCCAGGCTGTTGTTTTGGACAGCTGGGGGGACCTGGCAGAAACCAGGGGTGCTGTGGAAATACCTGATGAGTCCCATGGCACTCAGCAAGGTTGTACCCTCAAGGAAAGACTGTTTGTGATGAGTCCAGCACAGTGTGGCATTTGGCTGCACTGCTTTATCAACTTTTCTTGTTATTTATTACTAGCTTTTTCAAATAAGAAAAATGAAAACAAGAGCACTGGTTTATTTTCTCTGTGCCTCTCCTGTGCCTGCTGCTGCCATTGCTGTGCAGGGATATGGGTGGTGGGGCAGGGACAACTTGTTTCCTCTATGGAAGTTTCCTCCACGGTAGTGGCTGTCTGACCTTCCTGTTTCCAGCCAGGATTTTCCTCCGTGTGTTAGTTGTGGTGGTAAGGTCAAAGCTCACCTGTTATCAGTGTGTTCAGGCAAGGATGGGGAAGGAGGCCTGTGCTGGGAGGAGTGGCTGCAGGGTGGCTCAGAGCTGCTGGCTCATTATGGACACCTCAAGCTCTCTTGGCTGCCATTCCCACCACAGCCTGGGCAGTGCTCACAAGGTCCATGAGCAGGCTGGAGTTGGCCATGGCGTTTCTCAGCCATAGGTGGCAGTTGATGTGGTCAGTGCTGTGCCAGCTCCTGGGCACAAACACCCCCCACATGGAGGTGGGGCTGTCTCCATGCAGCTCAGTCCCCAAAGCCAGGCAGGCCCCAGAGCAGCCTTTTGCTGTTGCCTGGCTGGGCAGCTGTGGCACATCCTGGCCACAGCTCCTTCCCCTCACCATCACATCCCTCCCAGCACCACATCCCGGGAGGGAACCTCCATACCAGAGAATCTGGATGCAGCTGGAGGAGCAGCTGAAATGCTGTTTCACAGCTGCTCCTGCAGGAAGCTCAGCAGCACCACAGCAGAGGGCGGGAGAGGGGTGTTGCCTTGTGCAAAAGAAAATGGGAATATTTATGCAGGAAGTACCATGTGCCCATCTGGGCACCTCAGCAGGTCCATGGGGGCTCTGGTGGCTGCACTGGGACCTGTGGCACCCTCAATGCTCCTGGTGCTGCTTGGGCTGTCACAGGGGCAGAGAACAGGCTGAAGCACTGACTATAGAAAATAAAGACTTTATTATTTTTTTCCAGTTCACAGGACAGTTCCCATTACAGACCATGAACAGGCAAAGGCCCTACAGCCAGCAGCACCTGGCACTCGCCCCTCGTGCTGTGGGCTCCAGTGGTCCTACTGCTTCCCACCAGGGCCAGCACAGACATCTCCCCAAGGGCTGTTGGAGGCAACAAATACTAGTGGATCAGGTGATTTTTAAAGCCTCTGTGGCTGTGTTGAAGCTGAGGGGAAGCCAGCAGCACTCAGGTGAGCCCAGGTGCTCTGGACCTGCAGGGTGACTGTCCTTCAGGTGTTCAGGTTTGCTCTCCCATCACTCCTGACCTGACTGTAGCTGAACTGGTGACAGAGACAGGAGAAAATCAATGCTTGGATAGAGATGCTGTTCTTGCCTCAAGAGAGACAGGAAAAGGCTTAAATTCAGCCAGTAGAGGAAAAAATAAAATAGCCAGGTCACCCTTTTATTAACAAACACAGAAATGTACCATCAACCTCCTGTTATAAAAGTACTTTACATACATTCAAGGAAACATCATATAAATACCAGTATGAAATGTCAGTGGCTGCGAGTTTTCACACTCAGCTAAAATTTTACCAACATCTTAAAATTTCCTTAAAACATTTGAAGTAAACAAACACAAAGCACAGCCAGCTGCCAGGCAGCTCAGGCCTGCAGGTCCAGCACCTCCTGCCAGTGCCTGGGCAAACCCAGCCCCTCTCCAGCACGGCTCTGGTCACTGCTTGTGATGGGAGTGAAGCACAGGGGCTGCTCAGCCGTGCTGGTGGTGGGAGGTTAAGGCACAGGTTTTAATCCCAAAGTTCAGCCAGCTGGAGTACGAGACATGCTCCCAACAGGCTGCTGCACAGGCTGGGACAGCTCCCAGACCTGCTTACAGGAGACCTTTGGATGGGCTGAGGGATGTTCAGCATCAGCACAGACTCTTCTGTGACTACAACTGAGTCCTGATCCTCTGGTGACATTTCCAACCCTGGGAGCAATGAGGTGACTCCTCACCACAGCTCTGGCACTTCATAGGGACCTCAGAGGAACTGGACTCTATGGACCCAGCAGTAAGGGAGCTGGAGCTGCCTCAGCTGCCTTGGAACAGGTGTACACCTGAGCTCTCCATTTGGTGTAGACAGAGAACATCCCTGGGTCCTGCTCCCCTTTCCAAATCCACTGCTGAGCACTCCCAGCACAGCCTGTTTGCCCCGTGGGCTTTGCTGGGCCAGCACCCCCAGGGCAGCCAAACACCTTCCCCTCTGCTGAGCTGCCCAGTCACACCCACAGCAGACTCCCCAGATTCTCCTCATGGGATGAGCAGTTCTGCTGCTGGCAGGCAGCAGCTCCCACATGGACAGCATCTTCCTGCTGCAGAGCCCCTGGGGAAATACACAGAGCCAGTGTGTACCTGGGAGCAGAGCACAGGGCCAACACCTGGCAAGGAGCTGAATGGAAAGCAGATCAGTCCTGACTACAGTGACCATCCTTGAGAAAAAGAATCGCCTTTAATTCCAATTTAATTAATATTAAAAAAACCCTAAATTAAAAAAAAAAAATTAAAAAAAAAGGAAACCGGAGCTGGTACCATGGGTACCATGTGAAACAGACCTCCCAAGTCCAGTCCCTGAGCACGGGGTATCCAAACCCCTGGCTCCAGGCACCTTCTGCCCCAAAGTCACTGGAGCTGGCCCAGGAACAGAAGCTCCCAGGACACAGCAGAGCCTGTGCCAAGCTGGCCCAGCAACTCCCTCTGCACAGATGGAAATTAACCCTCAGTAATTAATGCCATGAAAGGAGTGCAGCAAACATCCCTGCCTGTATGGGCACAGTGAATGGGTCAGTGTCCTCCCTGCAGTGAGGGACTTTCAGCCCAGTCTCCTGCTGGCTGATGACCACAATCTGGAGGGGTGTGGGTGCAGCCACAGGTCTGGCTCTGCAGGAGCAGCAGCAGCTGGGACACAGCACACACCTGTCCTCAGGGCACCAGCTGGTCTGGTGCCAGCAGGGTACATGGGGGAGACCACCAAACACAGCCTGAGTTGGCACAAAACCAGTCCCTGTGCCAGCCCCAGTCCCTAGCTGGCTGTTCTGCCCAGGGGAGCTGCAGGTCACTGACTCCAGCCTCTATTCTGACAGTAGCAGAAAAATCAGCATCACCATCCCTCCCAAGTGCTCCATGCTGCCAAGTCACAGTGTCTTAGAAAATTAAGTCCCTCTTAACAAGGCGTTTGTTTCTCACTATGTAGTTAGGCTAATGCAAAGAATATAAGAAAACTGAATCTGATTCTACTAAAAGGAACTTAAAAATAGGGTCAGGAACACAGAGGTGAAGGTTATACCATAGCCAGAGCCTTCTCTGCAACATTCATGAAGATTTAGGAATTAGATTATTCCTAGTCCAGGTGAACACTCTGTTCACATCTGAGCAGTCTGCACCAGTCTCCTGTACCTGATGTTCACAGGCAGTTTCATTTTTCTTTGCAGGGAAAATCTGTGGGATCTACAGTCCAAACCAAGGCTGGAATCCAGTGATCTCCTGCTGGCTAAAAGGGCTTGTGCACACATTGACTAGAAGCCACTGGGATCAACTCAGAACACCAATACTTGCCTCTACAAGGAATCACATATCCCAGAAGCGTTCCCTTACCTTTATATTTTCCAGTCATCCCACATGGAGGAAATAACAATAGGACATTGTAATAAATTAACTGTTTTCAACACCCAGGGAAGGAGAGAGGACACATTTTACAGCAATAGAGGTATTTTTGACATTTTCATTAATATTTCCTATGAAAAAAACCATAGCTCTTCGGCTTTGCAAAACAAGGGAGGTTTAAGCTCTGCCATCAGCGTTTTCCTATAAAAATAAAGTTTTGTGTTTTCTTGGGTTCTACAACTAAGCTGAATAGAAAGGAGAAGGCTCTTACAAATAAATCTGCTGTTTTATGGCCCCTCCCTCTGGAGACAGCTGCCAGAGGCATTCAGCTGGCTCTGTAAGTCCCTTCTGCAGACAAGCTCTAGCTCTGCTGAGTCTAGGGCTTCCTTACAGGACACCCCTGGGCTTGGCAGGGCCCATGCTCCCAAGGAACGACCTGCTGTCATATTCCACTGTACAGTTTGCATTAGGTATGTTTTCTTCATCAAGCTGAAAAGTGAGTCCCCAAACATGTGAGATTTCTGCCCCCCCAGTAATGGAGAGGGCTTGTGGGAGCTGTCGTCATGTCTTTGCTCCAACTTCTTACAGGAAGTCTAACTCAAGGGCTTGGTGAAGGGACACGAGGTCAGCGTGATTTGTGATCCTCCAGAATGGCATGTTGTGCTGGAAAGAGAGAGGACAGTCAGGTTTATGCAGGGATTTTCAGCTGAGGTGGAAGCAGGCTGGGTAGAGCTGCAGGGCTGTGCAGTGTGGTGGTTCTGAGCACACCAGGCTCAGGACAGACCTTGGCCACGTGCACATCTGTATCTGGTGCCCATCTCGTGCACATCTGTATCTGGAGCCCATCTCATGTGCACATCTGTGTGTGACAGGCACCAGCACTCACTGTCAGCTGCTGGCAATGGAAACCTTGGCTGTGAGCTGCTGCTGTACCCACGAATGCCTGTCCAGGACCCCCAGCAAACCTGCACAGGTGACAGCTCTGGCACATGGCAGAATGTGTGAAACCTGCAGAGTCAACATCCTGACAGTCATCTCTGCATTCACCACTAACCTGTCCAGGCCTGTCCAAAATCAATCAAACTCTTTGCTCCTTGTTTGTAATCCAGCCTAATGGCAGGTGCTATATTGATCTGCTGCTGTTGCTGAGCCCTGACTCCTGCACACTCCTGAGAAATTCCAGCACCCTGACAGTCACAGGCTATGATCAGCATACAAAACCATAGACTCATCAAGGGTGGAAGGGATTTCCAAGATCAACGAGTCCAACCTTTCAACATGAATATCCAACATGCTACACTAAGACACTGCTGACAGGGACAGTGTGATATGCAATCCTAAACAACAGCAAAAGAGAAACTTTAACCACCCAGAAGCCAGAAAAATGCCCATGTTAACATAATGGAAGATCTCTTGCACCAAAGGCAAACTTTGCTTCTGGTTGCTCTGGCCTGAAGAGTCCAGCCTTGGAATAGGAGTCCTTGTAGGCAAAGCCTGCCAGCAACTTCCCTTCGTGTTGCCCCAGCTCTGCAGTCAGACCCACCTGCTTGGCTGCCACCTCCTCATCACGCCCATCTCCAATCACCACGTAAGTGACCTTCTTTCCAAACCGTGACACGATCCTCTCAAAGCAGCTCTCTTTACCTGCCAAAGACAATCCCCCTGTAAGGAGCCTCAGGCAGAGAGAAGTAGAGCCTGAACAGGTCCCTTCCTCCCAGTACAGAAACATTTCTTGTCTTACTGGGCAGGGGTAGTACCCAGTTCAGCTCCTGAGACCAGATGCCTCAACCAGGCAGACCACAGCACAGGGCTGCTCAGCTGCAGAAATGGAATTTCCCCATATAAAAATCCCAGCTAACTCTCAGCAGATGCCACAGTGCCAGAGACTTGGCACAAACCCTTACCTATTTTTGTAGCACTGTAAATATTTTCAATGGGAAACACCTCGCCCAATCCATACAGAAGAACTTTGGCAAGAGCTGGCATCAGTTGGGTAGTAGTGATCAGGATGTTCTCACAGTTTTTTCTAAAAGAAGAAAAACACTTATAACAGCACATCTACAGGCAGTGGTGCCAGGACTGCTCTGGGCAGCCTGATCAGCTTCCCCAGGTGCCATGTGCTGTCCTGCTTTCAGGAGACGTTTGCAATTTTTGCTTGCTTGCTTCTGGCAGAATTCCCTGTCAGAAAAACCATTTGGTGAGCATGGGGGCCTTGATCACTACAGGTGTTGCAGCAGAGAAACAGGGGTGGAATTCTTGCCCTCAGTCACTTGGCACCTGTCCTGAACAGCAGAAGTGTGATGGAGGCAGCAAGAAAGGGCTGAGACAGCCTTGCATGCATTTCCAGATTCCATACCTGGACTGGATGAGCAGCAGGGATTTCAATGCAGTTTCCAGCCAGGAATCTGTCAGCACTTTGATGTCGGTCCTCAGTCGCTGCAGAGCTTCCCTCTTCTGTGGGCTGAGCAGGCCTGGAAGGTGAGGAACACGTGTTTGCCTGGCAAGGCTGACACAGGCAGGGCTGTCCCCCAGTGCACCAGTGCCTGCTCTGCAATCAGCAACAGAACTGAAGGCCTCTGGAAGCTGCACTGTCTGTCTCAAAAGCAATGGAAGAAACCAGCTCCCAGTGACATGAATGAGCCCAGACATCCATCCAGGAGTCTGAGGGTGGGGAACTGGGCAGACACTTATCTGCAATTATTTCAAAGCATTTCTCAGGATACAGGCAAAGGCACTTCCCTTGTACAAAGCACTCACAGTAATAGGGGTCCAAGGCCACAGAGCAGGGGAAGGAACTCCTACAGTCACCCTCTCTGACTTTGTGCTTTCCAAGAACCCTTTCCACTTTAAGCCCTTTTACATCTTTTTCAAGCCCTTTTACATATCTTATTACAAACCGCCCCTTTTCTTTTATTCCCATGCTTATAAATGCTTTAAATATCATTTTCTTCAAGTCTCCAGTTTTGAATTAAAAACAGACAGAAGTGGAGCCCATTTCTGATCCTGACAGTAAACACAGCAATAAAGGAGCATGTGTACCCTGCACATCTCTCCAATTTCCATCCATGATGTGTGAGCCCCCCATCACTCCAGCCTTCTGTTAGACCAGTCCTCTGCACTGAGGCCACAGAGGGACCCACAGCAGGCTGTACTGACAGCTGCTTCATCATGCAGCTTTCTACAGGTCCTGAAAAACTCTACATCCAGGTTTCCCATGAGCAAAATATGCAATCATGATCTGATCTCCCCCTACAAGAAATCAGATAACTGCAGCACACTGAACTGCAGACCTATACTGGCATATTTTTAAGGCTGAAAGTTGTAGCTTTGAACACCTGGTTTTTAGAAAATATGTCCAAAAAAAACCCAACATCTATCAAGATTCTGTGTAGGCAAAGAGTACCCAAACCCACAACCAACCAAGCTAAGTCACCCTACCAGGTGAGCTGCCCCAGCAGCGTCCCTTTTCCAAGGATGGCAATGCCAAGATTCAGACTAAACAGAAAATTCATCTCCATTTGTTCACTATGCTTTGTATGATTATGACTGCTTTGGAGTTCAAAGGGAAGCAAACCTAGAAGGCTTTAAGTGACTTTGTGAAGAGAGAGCAGAGAAGTCACGTCAGACTGCGGGCCTGAGAGCCCAGGGGTGACCACTGTATTTCCTGATAATGGCATGACCAAAGGCAGACTTTGTGGAGACATGAATGAGACCTCCTGAGCAGCAGGGCAAATGAGTCATTCAGGCCACTGCTGAGCAGAGTGCCAGGCAGCCTTTCATTCCAAAGGAGCAAAGGGACACTATCTGCACCAAAACTTTTGCTTCTAGGACTGAGTGACCATCCTTATCTCCACGATAAATCACAGCCTGCACTGGCACACTGTTCAGTTCTGAAGACGTACCCTCTTAGATTCCATGAAAATTTGATCCCAGTTAGCACCAGGAGAACGATTTACTTCTCATGTCCACACCTCAGGAAAGCCAAAGCTCTGAGGAAGGACAGTCTGGCTGCACAAGCTCTGTTCAGTGCTCAGAGCTGGCTGCAGGTGACCACTCACCTCCAACGTTAGTTTTGTATTTGTTGTAGATCTCGCGTACCCTGCGGTAGCGGAAGGCCAATTTCCTCATCCAGTCCACTCCCTGCACACCCACGGACGAGCTGTGGTTTGCATTGCTTCCAGAGCCACTGAAGCCATCCGTGGAGAAGTTGTAGTTGCTGTTCCAGGAAAGCAGATGTGTTAGGTGTGCCACAGCAGCAGAAGCACTGTGGCATTTCTGGGGGGGCTGCTGATGGCAGTGCTGGAGAGCACCTTGGGGAGGAGCTGCACGAGCACCCTGGCACCTGGAGAGCAGAGCCTGGCTCCTGTGAGAGTGTGTGAGACATCCAACTACAGCTGCTGCTGCCTCTGAACTGCTGCACTGATACAACTCCTTCCAGATGCCCCACTACAAAACTTCCCTTTACTCTTTGGCTGTTCACTCCTCTGCCATTCAGAGCATCCTTCCCACCGACCCCCTCCTCACCCTGCAGCAATAAACCCCAGCACATCTTCCCAACACAGCGTCCATGCCTTTCCATCACAACTGCATCTCCACAAGCAGATGAGCTGCTTCACCAGTTTGTGACTGCAGAAGACAAGTCTTGCTTTACCACCTTCCCTGTATTTTTTTCTCCCTGAGAGATATGTCTCAGACGTTTTCATGAGCCAGTTCAGCTCAGTATAAAAACCTAACTTCCCTTGTTTGATAGTGAGCACCATAAGCTTTCAGAGGGATTCTAACCACAGGGGGACATGGAATCACAGGATGGTTTAGGTTGGATAGAACCTTCCAGATCATCTCATTCTAAAGCCCTGCCATAGGCAGGGACTTTTTCCAATAATCTAATTACAGTAACCATTAGATTAGGTTACTAATCTAATGCTGTCATCATGAGATCTGAAGTGTTGATTCTCCATTCCTTGCTTGTCATTGAGCACAGAGGCAGCATTCAACAGTAGACAGTATAATTCACAATATAATTTCAAAACTCTTAATGCTTTGTAGGTCTTCAAAGAAATGCCTCACAGCAAACAAACACTTTGCCAGTTTTCATCCCCTGCACAATGCTGAGCTCCATCCCTTAATCCCATCTGTATTTGAAGTCTTAACAAAACTTGATTACATCAGCCATACATTTTCTGCATTCATCAGTACAACACCTTAGATCTTGGCCATTGTCATCAGATGCCACATCTTCTATGTGTACCTGGTCACACTCCTGTTAAAGACAAAAAAAAAAACAAAAATAAAGTCATGTCGTGGTAATTCAGAAACACACTGGCATTTGCAGATGATAGAAACCAATCCCTTCACAATTCCCAACAGCAACAAGCCACAACACACTGCTTCCACAAACCCACAGAGCTTCCACTAGCTCCATCTGCAGCACCTACAGCAGTACATTTTGTGGTTGAGCACACAGCTAACACATTGATGAGTTTCCTTCCAGCACAAGAGACTACCTGGCATTTTCATTTGGGTTTTTGTTGCTTTTTTCCCTGAAGCAGGAAGGTAACTTATTACCACCTTTGCAAAGTTCACTGCTGCCAGTAGTCACAGCCACAATGGAAATATCATTTAAGCATCTATTTGCATCAAATTTGCATCAAAGCCATCTTGTTTTTCCACGATGTGCATCAGTGATACACCTACAACTAACCCTGTCCATATTCAGCCTTCCTAAGCCTTAAACTAGTGCTGTCAATTCTGCAAATTACATTGAGTGGAGTTACATCAAAGACAACACAAAATCAAAAGGGAAGGTGTTGTGGGTCAGCTTGTCTATGCAGCGTGTCCTTCAAAGCTGTTCCACAGCCAAAGTCACCTCCTGCATTCTGTCCTTGCCTTAGTCACAGCCCTTGAGAACTGACATCTTCAAGGCTGCCTTTTCCTCACATCTCTGGTTTCCATTTCAAAAAAGGACCAGTGGAAGCAAAGTGCTCACCAGTCCAAAAATGCAAATACAGGATGGATCACACATCACTCTCACTTTATTTGTACAGGTTCAAGCAAAATCCTAGCAGAAACTAAGAGAGCTCCTGACACTAGAAGGCTGCAGAATGCCTGTCTCAGTTAAGAGTGCACCCCTGATTTGGTTGTGCTTACAAAAAGCAGGAACAGGCTCTGAAGCACAGAGGCCTCATAAAGAGTGAGGTGTAATTCTGAATTGGTAACACGGAGTTCTGCCTTTCAAACATTTGCCATGTACCTCCAAGTCATTGAAAAACAAATGAGTATCAGCAACTTCAAAAATCATCTCCTCCATGGACAGACCTGAGCCAATCACCAGAGTTGGATCCTGGAAAAAACACAAAAAGAAAATGTAAATGCACTGTGGATAGAGGCAGAAGGGAATTGTCATAAATCTCTCATCAGTTAAACTGCACACAGTTTTCCACTGTCTATCAAACCTGGCATATTCCAGCTACATTCAGTGGTGTGGACTACAATTTCCCTAATACTTTCAACAACTCAATTTAAAAAAAAAAAATCAAACATTTTAGTGCTCCACAGGAAAGACTGATACATTTTCAGAGTCAGCACATACAAAACATTCAAAAATCTACAATGTATTTTTTCAAATAAGAAAAAACACTTCTCTTCCATACGTGTGAGGACCTCAGTTATTCCCAGTGAGGATGAAACCAGTTTGACAGATTTGCATTGTAAGAAGGGACATGTTGGTGATATCCAACATGAAAGCCAAATTTAGTTCTTCCCCTGCCCCAAACTGCCAACAACTTAAAGTATCATTGTAGAGAGTTAAAAAAAAAATCTATTCCTTTTCCAAAGACTAACATTTAATTCTGCATAGGTTTCCTTCCATGGAAAACACAGTATTACCTTGCCATATTTTTGAGCATAAGACCCTGTGAGAAGAGAATGGAAGATGATGATGGTCTCATCCAGGTCCCAGAGAAACACTCGCTGCAGAGAGAACAAGAGCAGGTTAGAGCTGAGATATTCCAGGCATGGAACTGCAATAAAGGAAGAAGTTTTAGAGTTAATTTCGTGGTTAGCTGCAGTATTCTTTAACAGGCATGAAAAACAGTTGTCATCTTACAGGCTGAACACATTCAACTCTTCAGTTTATTGCAGTGGAGTTTATTTACTGTCACAAAAGTACACATTCAGGCTATGGCTGTTTGGTCAAACTATTTCAAAAGCTTCTCTTGCTTTTATAGTTATAAAAGTAAAGCTTAGAGTGCAAATGAAGAGAGCCCTGCTGAGGAAAAATGTACTTCCTGTGATCTGGAGAGCACCAGGTACATGCCCATGGTGTTTGTTTTTATAACCTTTGTTATAAAAAAGGCAATGGGCTGCCATGAGAAATGGAGGAGTTTTGGTACAGAAGGGCTTTGACATTGAGAGCTGGGCCAACATGTGGGGTGGAATCACCCCTCACACTAGCCCAGGCTGAAGGAGCTAGAGGGCAAATTGGACACCAGCACAAGCCAGCAGCACTCTGTCCCTGTGGATGACTTTCCTGCTGGAGTCTGCCACGTGTGCCAGAAAGGAGGTGCTGTCTTAACCTGTTTGGCACTGGGCAGGTTACCCCAGATTGCATCCCTGGTCCCAGAGATCTGTGAGTAAATGAGAGTTGCCAGCAAAATGCTATTGGGATGGTCAGCAGCCCACAGGAGAGGCTAAGGAAACAGGGATGGCTTCTCTGAGCAAGAGGAGACCAAGGGATATCTGACATGAGACCACAACTGATTGAAAGGAGATACAGACACATTCTTTTCAGCAGTGGCAGATGGAAAATTGCTGTGGAAGAAGAAGGGGAAATTTGCAGTATGGGAGATTCCAGCTGGAGACAGAAAACCTCCTTCCCTGGGTGGATGTGGCAGTGCTGGGACAGATCACAAGGTACAGGACCTCCAGCCTTGGAGGCTCTCATGGCTCAGGCAGACAGAGCCACAGCCCCAGTGCTGGGGACAGCCCTGCTCTGAGCATGAGCCTGCAGCAGGGACACCTGGATGTCTCCTCAATGACACCACGAGGATTCCAAGATGCATTTAAGGGATGCTTTGGGTTTGAAAGGGACTTTGAAAACCATCCAGTTCCAACCCCTCTGCCATGGGCAGGGATACCTTCCACCAGACCAGGTTGCCCCATCCAACCTGGCCTTGAACACTTCCAGAAATGAGGCAGCCACAAATCGCCTGGGGCAGCCTGTGCCAGAGCCTCCCCACCCTCACAGGGAAGACATTTTTTCCTAATATTTAATCTAAACCCACTCTCAATTTGAACTCATGGACCTTCTCATTTGAACTCATGGACCTTCTCATTTGAACTCATTGAACCTTTTAATAGGGCCTGTGGTGATAGAACAAGGGGGAATGGTTTTAAACTCAAAGAGAGTAAATTTAGACTAGATGTAAAGAAGGCATTTTTTACAATTGAAGTGGTGAGGCACTAGCACATGCTGCCCAGAGAAGTGGTGGATGGAAACATTCAAGACCAGGGTGGATAAATCTCTGAGCAATCTGACATCTACCTGAAGATGTCCCTGTTCATGGCAGGGTGGTTGGACTAGATCACCCTGAAAGATCTCTTCAACCCAAACCATTCTACAACTACCTTCCATTTCCATGGAGATGGAATGAAAAAAAGGGAGGAGAATTTGCACCATCACAGTATTCTGCAATGCTACCTACAGAAAAGAAGATCACTATTTACCTCCAGTTCACTGTCCTGTGAGGAAGAGGTATCTGCTTTCCTCTTCCCTCTGTTCTTTCCAGGGATGTTTTTTCTTGCTTGCTCATCTAACTCTTTACTTGCTGTCGCTCTTGGTAGCAAAGGACTTGTGGATGCATCTCCTGGAATAAAGAAATCACACAGCTTTCATCCCCTGTGTCTCAAAACAAAGACCAATTCAGCATTGGCCAAAAACCACCTTAGGAAAAGCTAAGATGTTACTTCACTATGTGGATGCAGTAGTAGTTGAACCCAGATTAGAACATAAACCATGATTTCTTTGTCCCATCATTTCAAAACAGCTCCATCTCCTCAATTTAGTCCCCCAGAACTGAGCTATTGCAAGAGCTACTGCCTTAAGAGCAAAGCCAGAGCAGAGCACTCTCCATCCTAAGGCCTGGAACCCTGCAGTCATTTCACCACCCTGGAACTACTCTATTACTCAACTATGCCTATTTTATTTAATAGACAGTTGAATAAAAAAGAGTAACAGCAGTGATGTTGGCCCTGGAGATACATATGGCCATGACTTGACAGGAACAGATGATGGAGCCTGTTCTGCTACAGTAAGAACACCCTTCCTAGGGAAAGAGCACACCACCACCTCCTGCATCGTTCTGTCCTGCAGCCAGGTGTCCAGAGTACTCCCTCTCCCTGGGTGTCCTGGAATGGCAGCAGTAAAAGGCTTCTGAGACATAATTTTGGCTGGCCCACCATAACACTGTGCACAGCAGTGAGACCAGTCTGACAAGGAAGGCAGTGTCCCATGGGGCCCAGCATGACAAGATGCTGCAGGTCCCCTCTGCAGAGGTGTCCCCACAGCTGCCCCCTGCCCTGTTTAGCAGAGGTGTTTTACAGACCCCGCCTCACCCGAGGGAGGTCTCTGCACTGCCTGTGCTGCCACCAGGGCATTTGGTTTCTCCTCTGGGTACGTGGTGGTGGCTAATGCCAAGCTCTCCGTGTTGCTGTCTGCTGGTGGCACCACTCCAAAGCCTGAGCTCGGGTAACAGGTCTGGTACTGACTCTGGCCAAGGATCGTGTACGTAGGATAGTCCTGTTGGAGGAAAGAGTTAGTGACAGTAGGACACCTCATTCAGAAAACACTCTGAATCAGGATGAGTTTTGTATCAGAATATCCAGTCCAAGAAAAATCCCAGCAAGAGTACAGTCTGGCTTTATGCTGTTTATTCTGCATATGTAAGACATTCCCCAAAAGGGCTGAGAGCTCTGGCTGCCCAATGGCCCCTGCACAGGCAGCTTTTGCAGAGACCAGTGATCACAGGGCCATTCCTCTGCTTCCAGTGTCTGCAAAAATTAATTCATAATGAATGAAGTGACAGACACAGGGAATTTGAGTGCATGCCAAGACATCAGTGCACTCTGTGCTCTGGAATGTGTGGTTTTGTCCTGCATTTGACAGTGACAGAAAAGTGACCTTGGGCCTCACTGAGGGCACAGCTAAAGGATAAATGGTCCTTACTCATGTCCTGACTTCATCAAGGAATAATTCTGCATTCTGGAAGGTATCCATTTATGAAAACTATTTAATTAATTTAGATCACTCAGCACCTGGAGTTGTGCTTGAGGATTTTAACTTCTGTTACTGACAGTAAAAAATGCACCAACCCCAAATGTTGCACCACACTATTCTGGTACACAGTGCTCTCCTGATTCCCTTGAAAAGCAGCCTGGGTTTGGGAACCAGGTACCTTGGTATGAAATACTAAAAGAAAATCTTTTTTTTCCCCTTACTGTTCCAAGCAAGTTTATGTTTAAAAAGCAACATAAGCACAGAAGGATTTTTGTGCATCCATTGCATTTTCCACACTTCCTGTATTCTCTTTCTGAAAAGCTGGACACTGAAGGCTTCCTTTGTATAACCAAGTATTCAGAATGCCAGTTAACCACCCACAGAGAAAAAAGGCAGGGGGAAATGGTCTTTGCTAGCTTGCAGGGCTGTCTCACTTTGTTCTAGTCTATCATCAGAATGCACACCCTGCTTTATTGGGTTGGAGTTTTGTTTGTGTACAACCTCATTTCCTATTCTTGCTGAGGGACAACAAAAGTGTCCAAAAAACATCCACCTCTAATCCTCCCTGCAGGTTTAGTCCTCAAATAGCTGAATTGTTTCTTCTCCTCCATCTCCATTGCAGAAATCTCAGCTTTAAAACTCACCTCATAATTTGCAGATGAGGAACAGCTTTGAACAGATGAAGTGAGTTTGTTGCCAAGGCCAAAGGGAGAAGCATCATTGTCAAAGAGACAGCAGGAGTGATTTGGTGACTGAGTTACACACTGAGCCCCACAACTCCATTTGAAGTGACATTTCCAGGTTAGTTTTAAGCAATGTGTTAAAACAAATAAAGGAGATGATGCACATAAATTTACCAAGGAACTTTTACCTGTGAGATACTGGCTACTGCTGATGTGGAAATATTGACAACAGTTGAGGATGTAGAGACTGGACTGGCATTGGTAGTTGATGCTGTAAAATTGAGAATTACTGCATTAAATATTCTAGAAAAGCATAAGAAATGAGAAGTTGTGAAATAAATACTTACTAGGTCAATGTGCAAGCATTTGTACTTCCAGTGGCACTCTGCTACTAATAGTCAAAAAAGGACTGGGGTGTATTTTGACACCAGCCACATTTCAATTGGGTTTACAGGAAAGGAGAGCTAGTACATCCCTAAAAACAGTTCTTTCAAATGCTTCAGAAACCTTTTCCCTCCATGGGTCTTAAGCAATTGGTGTAGAATTTAAAAGGTTTTAGATCTTTACTACATGTCTTGATAAGACAACAATCCCATTCTGATGATCAGTCAGTAGCAGTTAAATCAGAATAAATCAAGAAAAAGGATATGAATGTGTTTAAATTAATTCTGGTTAAAAAAAAAAGTCTGCATCAAACTTAGCATTTTTAGCCTAATTAAATTTAAATTTAAGGAAATATTAAGAATTTTTCAAATAGTAGAAAAAGAGTGTTTCCTGCTGGAGAAAGTGAGCATCTCTCCCAACATCCCTGTGTCTAGAACTGATTTTCAGATGTGACTTTCTGAAATAATCTGTCACCAGCCCATAGGATGAATTCTTAGAGATGTGAAGTTAGTACCAACTTGAAGATGTTCCATAAGCTTCATGTCATTGCATTCAGTTCTCCCAGAATACAGAAAAGGCTGCTAGAGCAACACTTGGGAATGCCAGTTGTTTAGCAGTTTTTGGGAGTTTGCAGACACAGGGCCACTCCATTAAACATTCCTCAGCATGGGGGTTTGGGACTCACAAGGATAACAACAAATAATTAAATCAGCAGGAACAAAACCAGAATGTACAAAACCAGATGCCACCAAGAACTATTTACTTTTCTGAACAATCTTCCTCTGCACACAAATAAAACCAAAAAAATCACTTTTAGATGCTTATGTAAAGACTTACAGAGATTCACAGTATCCCTACTTTACCATCACTCTGAGAAAAAAACCTTCTTTTCTGCAAATACCACCATGCAGAATTCACCCCAAGAACTCAAGCTTCTGAAGGCTTCAGTCCTGCTCCCCCAGGGAAACAGACCCATCATGAACTCTTAACAAGAGTTGTGTTTGTATGTTGTGCTATGGCAAGCACCAACACTATCTGCTGCCTCCTGGAAAGAGGAATGGATCCAAAACATGCCTCAAGAAAGTTAAGAAAACAAAATAAATGGATCTTAAAAGATGTGTAGAAATACACAGTATTTACAGGAAATGAGAGATACAAAGGATGTCACCTCTGTGGAAGCAGAAACAAAGGGAAGTAATTAGCCCCAGAAACATTTAGGAAAAGGCAGAAGGGCTGCACTCAACAGCAATAATGGCAATGAAGACACTCAAGGACCTACAGAAGCTCCACAGCTACTTGAAGCCCAGCTGTGTGAGCCAAGGAACACAGACACTACTCATAAGCAACTGCTCAAAAACAGGGGACAGTTTCCAAATAAAGCTCTTTCCATATACACATTCTGGAAATTATCAAGGCTGTTATCACCTTAAGAGAAGGTCCCTTCCTAGGCCCCTATGAAGCCCAGCTCTCCAGAAAAGACCATTGCTAACTGAACAACCCTGCCATGCAGCCAGGGCAGAGCAATTCTCTGGATGACAGATTGTTACACCACTGCTCTCAAGACTATCATGAAGAGGAAACAGAAAGTGATTGTTATCTGTAATGCTCTGCAGAGCTGCTTCTCCACTGAGATTGATTACACAAGTTAAGAAATGAGAAAAAAGATTTCAAGGTTTGGTATTCCTTCACATGAACCTCATTGTTTATCTTATCTCTGGTCTCCCTCCAACAGTTCTTTTTAATAATCTTTTATCTAAACAGTGCTACATATCAGATTTTTTCAACAGTTCTCACTACATGGATGAACCAATTCTTTCTGCACTGTGGGCTACTTCTTTTTTACCTGTGATTGGGCCAGAACCACGCAAAAATATTTGGCACAGATTTGCCAAATATGACTTCAAGGGCTGAGGTTTAAAGCCCAGCAAACACAAGTACTGCATTAAAGATGCCGTGACTCTTTTCCTTTCTTTATTCCTCACTTCAGACATGACATCCCTGCCTCCTCTACCTTATTAATCCAAATCTTTGGGATTTGCTTCAACCATTTTCAAAGAGCCAAAACCAGAACCATGCACTGAAATACCTCTCCAGTGGGTCAGCATCACTGTACGACTGCACCTCACCCTGCTGATTTGAGTGGAGAGAAAAGACAGATATTCCAGGGATTACTATTTAAAAAAGTCTGTCCATCCTTCCAGCTCTGCCCTCCACCACCTCCCTGGCACCAGCCCCTGTACTGACCTGACCCCGTGGTGGGCTGCTTGAGAAAGAAATACAGCAAATCTGAAAAAAGGAAAAGTGCCCTGCAAGTCTGCAAAAGTTTTCCAAAAAGCAACAGTATTTGCCCAATTGGACTGACTTTTGCACACTTGGGATGCCACAGTTTCAGAGAGCAGCCTGCAGGGAAACTTCTCACATCACACATTCTCCCAGCAGCACAGATTAAAATCCTTCTCCTGTGTGAAAGCTTGACAAAGCTGGGGTTGAGCCGTTTGCAGAAGAGAAGATTCCAGGGAGACCTCAGAGCCCCTTCCAGCACGCAGAGGGGCTCAGAGAGAGCTGGAGAAGGACTTTGGACAAGGCATGGAGTGACAGAATAAAGGGGAATGGCTTCCCACTGCCAGAGGGGAGGGTTTGAGAAGGAATTCTTGGCTGTGAGGATGCCCAGTGAAGCTGTGGTTGCCTCATCCCTGGAAGTGTCCAAGGCCAGGCTGGCCAGGGCTTGGAGCACCCTGGCCTAATGCAAGGTGTCCCTGCTCATGGCAGGGGGGTTGGAAATGGATAATCTTTAACGTCCCTTCCAGCCCAAAAAAGTCTGTGATTTGATAATTCTTCTGCAAATCAAGGCCTCAGTGGGGTCTGTCACCTCACCAACCCCAGGGATCCCCCTGCTCCCCATGGGAAATCTGGCAGGGGTCACATTGTGTAGAACCATTCCTGACCCTTGGCTGGTGCTGAGAGACACAGTAAGTCATTCTGCTGTGGGACTGTGGGAAGGAGGGTTATGCTGGAAGGAAGGGAGTTATTTCCAGTATTGCTTTCCTCATGTTATAAATGTGAAAAGTGAATTAAGGATAAATATTACACTAGGCCACTGACTGTCACAATAATGCAAGCTGAGCAAGTACCATGACACACCACATGACTTTCTTCCATGAGAGAGAGACATGCCAAAAGCCACTCACTGCTAATTTTAAGAATTATCCTCCTTTTCTTGACTCTCATGAGACCACATCTGGTTATGGTGTCCAGTTTGGCCCCTCAAGCCCAAGAAACATGTTGATAAAATTCAGTGAGTCTGGTAAAGAGACACCAAACCAGTCAGGGATGTGGAGAACGTGCCTGCAAGGGGCATTTCAGGGGAGAGGGACTGTCCAGTCAGGAGAGGAGGTGGCTTTGGGAACCTGATGCAGCCTGCTGGTACCTGCATGGACATCAGTGAGAGGACAGACACAGGCTCTTCTGGCAGGTGTGCAGCAGGAGGAGAGAAATGGTCAGAAGGTGGAAGAGGGAAAGCTCTCAGTTGACAAAAGAAAAAACATTTCATCATAATGACAGTCAGGTTCTGGAACTGGCAAAATTTCCAGTTTTGGAACTGGAGGTTTTTGGAATTGGAGGTTTTGGAGATCCAACTAGATAAAGCTCTGAGCAAACTGGTTCTGAATTCTGTATCAACTACTCTTTGAGCAGGAAGCTGAACTAAAAAATTTCCTGAAGTCCCTGAATTATTCTGTGAAAATATTCCATAAGAAATAGATTACAAATTCCTGAAATGCTTTATAAAATTTCCATAGAAAGAGACAAATTTTCACAATTCATCACCAAAACATAAATGGCAGCCTAAAGAAAAGGTATCAATTTGCATATATGTGCCATAAGCAACAATATTCCATAACTCAGCTATCTGGCACATTCATTCCTAAAAACTGTTGTTGAAGCTGGTGAAATTCAGCACCTGCCTTCTTAGATGTGGCAGTTCCAGCAAGAATAATATTTAAATGGTTCTATACTGAGAAATTCCCTTCCTAGCAGATCTAGCAACCTGGTGTGTGTGATATGCAAGAACCATCTACCTCCAGAAGGAATGAAAAACAAACGTTTAAAAATCTCACTGCAGCATATTTCACTCAGCATATTTCCTGACATCAAACTAAAGACCACAAACAAAGAGAAATGCAGGAGCATTCCCAATAAAGCATGCAGGAACACAACATGTCTTTTTCCCCTTCCCATTTGCTCTTCACTCTGTTCAGCCCAGCAGCATGGCACCAACGAGCCAGCCTGGTGCACACACAGGTAAGAGGCAAATACAAACCCAGAAACACACAGGCAGAAAGAGAAAAGAGGCAAAGCATGAAGAAGCATGCACAAAACCAAGGACAAGCGTGCAAGCCTCTCTGGAGTTTGGTATCTGGACTCAGTTAGGTGGAGAGAGATGCAGATAAAAACCATGCCAAGTTACCTTCAATGGAATAAGAATAATGTGCTGGGCTGGGCTGGCTTGTGGTTAACCCTGTAGTGCAGGTAAGAACACTGTGCTGACTTGTAGATGGAGTCTGAATTAAACCACTTTCAGGTTTCATACCTGGCCACAGTGCACCTGAATCAGATAAATTGGACCAGTTACAAACAAATATGCTGGGACCAAACAGCATGCTCCTACCTCAGATTAAGATTTTTGCTCATCACAAAAGCAAATAACAAATGACACATGGAAAATGTTTAATTTTGGCAATAGTAAGTGCTGTCAGGCTGTGCAGGGATTAGAGCTGGTGACAAAATGGCTGAAAAAGAGAAAATTAAAAGCACCAAGAAGAGTAATTTGCAAAGCTTTTAACTAAAAATGTTTCACTAAGATTCACTGCCCATGCAGATAAAGAACCTGCCAATTGCTGTGATTTTGGGCTGAGCTGCACAGCACTGCAAGTGACATCAGCTGTTACAGTGAGGCCAAAGCTGGGATCTATGAAGGCCAAGCTCAACACTTCCACTGCTTCACTGGGCTTTGGGATGAATACTTTAAACCAAGCCACAAGTCAGTAATTTTCCTAGAACGACAACAATATATATATAGAGCTAAAAAAAATTTTTTAAAAATCCAAATGTTTCTTCCAGATTTCCTGTTGTTTTGGAAATGCTTTTGTAACAACTCTGGGCACAGCACAGAGAGCAGAGTGACTGTAATTGTGTGTACAGGGCACACTTAGCATGGGGCTCAGCTCAGGTGCTGTGTTAAGGTTGAGGTCTCTGCACTGACAGGTGCCAACAGTGTCCAACTGTGGCAGCTCAGCTCAGGCCTCACTCTTCAGGGCTCTTCAGGCTTTCAGGAGTGTCTCCAAATCTACAGCCAAAGTCAAAGACAGTTCTCCCTGGCCCTGGTTAGAAAGCAGGAATATTTTGAGAGGATCTACATAAAAACAAACAGGAATATGCAAAGCAGAGGGACAAAGGACATTTGGAGCTAGACAGAGTTTAGGGCCATCAGAAAGATCACCCTCCTTTTTCAACACCCCAAAAACAGTACCAAGGAAGCCACCTGCAGCCCTTCACCCACTCCAGGAGTACTGAGCCATGGGCTATGAGCTCTAGACTCCTTCCCAGAAGATATGGGAGACTCCATCAAGCTGGATGGGAGCAGCAGCTCCAAGAGGTCGCTCCATGCTGCAGCCTTGTCAGAATTAAATTCTGCAATGGCCCTTTGATTTATTTACATATCTGATATCAAACTGACACCTATGAGTCAACTTAAATCACTCCCCTCTGCACAGCCACCCCAGGGTCTGACTCTTCAGCTCTCAAGTTGTGTCTTCATTAAGGTTTTCAAACCTCCAGAACCTCAATAATTAGCAAACAAAAAGGAAAGGCTGATCTAAGAAAGATTGTAGATACATTGCAGAAATTCCAGAACAAAATACATGGGAAAAAGATACTCCAAGGAGAGTGGGGAGTAGTTGTGTTTGTTTAGTCTGGAAAGGGAGTGCCACCATCTCCAAATTGTGAGCAGTTTTTACAGGGGACAGTAACCAGAAGCTCCTTAGGGCACAAGGCAGAGGGACAAGGAGCAGACAGCAACACAATATGATGGTCACACGACATGCAGAAGTGCCAAACAACCTGACAGTGGAACACAAAGCCACCCTGAATGCTACAGCACCATGACACACAGGGAGTGTGGCACCAGGTCAAACACACACAGAGGTGTTGGCAGCACTGGCTGGGTGCCAGTGCAGGAGCTGGCTCAGGTGCTGTGCTAAGGCATCTTTCAGGCCCTGCCTTCCATGACTGTCTTGCTGTTACAGACATGTCCTACCTTCCAGCCAGCCAGGCACACTCCTGGACTGTGTGTCCTTCCCCTCTCATTCTGCAGGACAGCATTATAAGCTAGCACAGCCTCAAGGATGATGGAGAAGCTGTGAGAGGGGGGATGAGACTCTTCCATGTCCAGTGGCAGCACTGTATGTCACAGAATGTCACAGTACTAATCTGCACACATGGAAAGGCCCCACACAGGACATCCAATCACTTCCAGGTTTTTCTTGAGTTAATGTAAGCCATCACATCCATGGTGTTTCTAACACCAATTTACAGCTACACATATGCAGCCTGGATGTCACTACTCTTATTTTAATGCTTCTTTTAAAAAATCTCTCCTGACCACAAGGGCATCCCATGAAGAACAATGCACTGAACACCAAGAGAGGTGACAAACCAGCAAGAGCATGGCCATCCCTTCTCTAAAAGGGGCATCCTGACTTCAGCCACCTCAAGACTGTGCTTGTGTTTGTCAGGTTGCTTGAATTTCATGCTGGTTTGTCCCAGTTGGATAACCCATGGTGCCTTCTTTCTGGCATAGAAACAATACATGGTACAAAGACACACCAACCTCCTTAACAAGGCCCCTGGTGCTGTAAAACGTGACCAAGCTGTTGGCCCTCACTGCTCACTGGAGATTTAGTGAGCAGAAACAATTTCCAGAATTCTCTCTGCAGTGTTCAATCCTCTACCCTCTACCTCTCCATCAAACCATGCAAGGTCCATCTTCTCATCATGACTCAGCAAGCACCACTCCACTATGATTTCCATTACTGGAAATAATGACTTTTAACATCTTCCTAACTTGATTTCACACTAAAAATTCTGGTGTTTAACAACACACCTCAAAATTCACACCAGATATTTCAGTAACTGATGACATTTTGGACATTTTACAGATGAAAGCTCCCTTGAAGTCAATAGAAAATGCAAATCTCCTTCCAGGTCTTCAGAATAATTTCTAGTGTTACATTTAGACTATAATATTGAAGCAGCTGAGTAACCCTGCACTCCAGAACCTTTGGCTTCAAAAAAATGAACACTGCCCCCAAATACAGCCACCACTACTGCCACCAACAAAACATCACACACAACACACTAACAAAACCCCTACACCCTCTCTCCAAAACTGTAGACGTCTAAACCATATTTTAAACTTCAATGGAGCACTCCACATATTTACAAATATTTGCATTTAAAAACACCAACATGAGACACATTAAAACACACAACAGCACACGAAGCACCTCAGTGCACCATGCACAACACACTATTGAGAAACACCAAATAAATGAAGCAAAGAAACCATCAGCCACTGTTCAGATACAGCAAAAAACGGTGCAACAAGGCACTGAAACCAAAGTGCAGGCACCCAGTGAGGAGGATTATGTTCCAGCAACCATCAGTAATTACAGTATTAGTAATTTAACTTATGTTTAACAAAGCCAAGTCTGGATTTATTATCTTTCCTACACCATCCTTCAAATATATCCTGACAAATCAATTGTTTTGTAACCTTTAGAAAAGCCCATGCTCTGTCAGCAGCTAACAAAAGCCAGAAATGTAGCTGTTTTTATTCAAAGACATCTAATTCTTTAACTAAAGAAAAATTCATCCTTACACACATCAAGGTACTTAGATTTTAGCACTACAGATAAATCTGCAAGAGGCTCAGTGCATATGGTTGTGCAGTACAAGCCCCTGACACATACACTTAGAATCACAGAATTGTAAAAGTTGGAAGAGACCTTTAAGATCATCAAGTCCAACCATTCATCCAGCACCACCATGTCCACCAATCAACCATATCTTCAAGTGCCATATCCATGAGTTTTTTGAACACTGCAAGGGGTGGTAACTCCACCACTTCCACAGGCATCCAGGGTTGCTCCAGGTTCCCTGCATGATGCTCTCCCCTCTCATCAGTGTTGCATGCTAGGAGATAAAACAGCCTCTGCTCCCTTCCATTTTTTAAGAGCTGCATTTGCAAAGACTGGAATAGCTATCAAGAGGGCTCAGTTATTAGAGCAAATTAGGCAAACTATTTGCCTAGTAAACTTGAAAATATCTTAGCATGAGCTCTCATTTGGTGAAATATGAAATAAAAATGTCTTAATCTTGGACAACAAAAAAGAAAGGGAAAATCAGAGAAGTTGTAGTATGGGGTGCTGTGCCATTTCACTAACAAGGAAACTGCACAAACATAGGTATACCACAACCAGAGACAATTACCAAGAACCATACAGCAAACTTCATGGGGAGATCCAAAGTAACAGCTGTGTAAAAAATCTTATTTTTTAAGTTGAAGTCCCATCAAGAGATCAGCGCCCATCTCCAATTTAAGCTATGCATGTGCTCTCCTACAAACTCTTGTCTCCAACACACCTGGTTAAGTTTAACACTGGCATTTTACTGAGACATAAAACAGTAATTGCAGGCATGGAGAAGTCTTTGAAAAGTGACTTTTTACCGAAAGGAGGTAGTCCGTAGGTCTGGGAGGTCTGGGGGTAGATGGTGTAGGGCTGGGACTGCTGTAGTGCTTGGTACTGAGGCTGACCGGGGTAAGGGCTCATTGTTTCCGATACTGGTACAGAAAGGATATGTGCATATGGCCTTAGTGAAAAGAGAGAACAAAAGTCAGAAAGAACTGTTTACATCATGCATCTTTCAGCCTTCAAAACAGAAGACACATTAAAAAATTTGCTCCAGAAAGGAGGAACTACTCAGACTGACATGTCCTCTTAGTGAAATAAGCTCCTTGTGCTCCTCAAGGCAGGCTCTTGAGTTAACAGATGCTGCCAGCTTCCCGCGGGGACACCAGGGAAACTCCCTCCTCCACAATGCCAGAGCACCAGTGCTCATCCAGGACTGGGAGGGACAAACTCCCCATTCCAACAGGCACGAGCAGTCAGTCCCACTTATCATGCCTGCCCACACCAGATCCTGAAGCTACTGTAATCTAGCAGCATCTGTGAGAACCAGTGGGACACACACAGAAACTACACAAAAACAAGCAGCAGGGTTTAAGGTCCTGTTCCAACAGGAAGAACTACAAAGATCCTAAACACAGTGAATGATGAGAAAATCTTATATTCTCCTTATATTTATTTATGTTCAATTTGTTTATTTGACAAATGTTATATGCATTATTCACCAAGACTATCATGTTAATTACTTGAAGGGCCTCATTTATCTTTGTGAACATAAAACAGTCGCTAAAGCCAAAGGGTGAATTCTGTAAGTTCAGTGTCCTCAGCAACAAGTATCTGCTGCCAGTAGTGGGATTTACAGCACTAGAGAAATGCATAAAGATACAAAAAGATTACTTCAGAGAGAAGTAAGAGTTACAGAACTCAGTAACAATTTCTTGACTTACTTTGCAGAATACATTTGTGAGGTATAATCATTTGATGACCTTGGGATATAATCAGTGCATGTCATAACTGAAAAAAAAATAGTTTGTGTAATTACAGAAGTGCTTTCAAAACCCAACAAATAAAGATAAATATCATACTAATGGTACATTTTAGTCAATACACAGGATATACAAAGGGTTTTAGTGCCCTGAATATCTGTTTCAAAGCAAATTCTCAAAAACACACTGTAAAACCAGCACAAAACTGTTTTGCCAGCTCCCAGCAGGTAGATCAGCCAGTCATGCTATTCCTCCCTGTGAAACAGTGCTCTTTATCAGCTGGTACCATAATGTTTTGGAACTGTCATAAAAAGCCTTTGATTTCAGTCCTCCCCAAAACCCTGCGTATTTGCCAAAGGGGCTTCATCTGCACCAAGGGTAACATTTATTTCTGTGTCCTGGACAGAGATCCAATGCCTGTTTTGCAGAGCTTTCCTCTACCCCTCCATACTGTATCCATGCATGGCTCCAGCAGTCTTTCCTGGAAAAAGGAACAGCTCCAGCTCAAGGAATTTAATCACACACATCCAGCAAAACACAGCTGCAGTGCACAAGGCTCAGAGATTCCTCTAAAGTAATCTGGTAGTTACATTTAACCAGATGTTTCCATTTTTCTGCTTGAATAAATCCACAGCAATTGCACTCTGCAACTGCTAAGAGAGAGTGGCTCAGCTGGCAACCCATGAAGGAAATGTTTCAAATGTTGTCATTCAACACAGCCTATGGCTCTAGAACAGCTTGTGTCAGAGAGTTCTGTTACAGCATTCCAGTTGGGATGGAGATGGGGGCTTGGGCTCCTATGGTTTAATCCAAGCGTCATTAAACACCCCTTGGATTCACATCAGCTGACCAGATTAAATACTCAGCTCTCCATCAAACTAGGAAAGCAATGACTGGGAGCCCAGCACAGATCTCGGCCCCGTGCAGCCTCTCTGGCACCACCAGCACAGTGCAGTACTGCTGGGAGCTACAGCTTCTGTCACTGTGTACAGTCTGACAGTACATGGGTTTATCAGTTCAGCTCTCATACCCAAACACAGCTGCACTGCTGTGGATCCAGATGATTCCCCTTTGAAAGGAAAGCACCCAGGGCGTGCCCAGGAGGTAACCCAGGCTAACAGTGTATCCCTTGAGCTAGCCCAGGGCCCTGCTCCCACACCACACCATTACATTTTGTCTCTCCCTCTGGAGTGACTCGATTAACAGCCTTCAGAACGGCCCAGGGTCACAGATAACAGCATACTCTGAATTGGGATTGGATCCAAATGCCAATAATGTGCTCCAAAAACTTGGGCTTTCCATATTGGACCTGCATTATTGCTCTTGTATGACCATGTAGTTAACACCGTAACTCTGCAGAGTCACACTGAGGAAAGCAAGACAGTCACCACAGGCAACTCTAACCCTAATGTGCATTGTGCCACCTCAATAACCTCTTTGTGTAATCTGAACACAAGCAGCTGAGAAGTACAAACCATCAATCACTGAACCTCCCAAATGATCCGTGAACCACCTTCCTCTGCTGCTCAGTGTTTGCCTTTCCTCATAGTGTGAAGCCCACCCAGCAAAAGGATACAACAGGAAACGCAAACTGGGAACTTTTGGACCTAAAAGCTTTCCTTTAACACTTGTCAGTTCTCACATCCCTCCTGCAAAAATGTGGATTTGTAGGGGTTTTTTTAAGAATGTCAACATTCATCTGAATAGTTATGTAGTAATGATATTTCTAGGATTTGTATTTATAAAATTGCATATAAACACTTAGGCAATGGTGTAAAAAAGCAGAAAATCCAAAATAACACTTCATGCAAGTTCTGGGATTTTTAAATGGCTTATCCAGTTATGCAGCAGGTTTTGCAGACTGAAATTTCTTGTAACTCCTGCACCACCAGAGTACATGGATTAAAATAGCAAAGACTAAATCAATTACAATGGAAAGTTACACCTTACACACTTTCAACAAAGATGAGCTGACTTACACTTCGAAATATGTATTAGAAGTCAAAGGTTACCACACAGGAATCTGACTTTCCTAATAACTTCCAGCCCTCTTTTTCCAAGAGAAAGGATACACTCCACTTTTCATTTACTATGCAATCTTTGTATTCCCTGCCTGTTTCCTCTCTGTTTATATCCTAAGAGCTTTCTGCAGACATTCAATACAATTCAGAGTCTAAGATGAAGTGCATGGCATATTGCTACAAAGGACCCAAGCAGCTGTGTAGAGAGTGATTTATAAAACATGTTTACAATCGGCATTATAATTGATATTGACTCAACCCTCAAGAAGAATCATGTCTAAGACACAGCAATACTCAGAAGCACCCAACAGCAAGCTGAGAGGCAGTGATGCAAAAATATTTGTTAGAAACAGGTATTTCCTTACCATCGGGAATTAACACTTTGTAAACACAACAGCAAACGTTCACTTTACAGCTGATAGTGAGGGCAGGCTAAGGATTACAAGGAGACAGCTTGTGGTGGATGAAGAATGGTACCAGGGAAAGACAAGGAAAGACAATGGGAGAACTGAGATACTCACTCTCACTGGACATGGGAAGGTCTGAACCAAGGTTTGAAGATTCAGTTTTCTGATCGCTGACCTCTGTGCTGCTCACATGACTGCCAGGACAGCAAAAGCTCAGTATCAGCATCATGAACTCTTAAATTAACATCCTTGGGCATCACAAGCCCTGGGTTCAACTTTTCTGACCAAGGCAAACTAACTCTTCACAAAACCTAGCCCTGTGCTCTTTGCTACCTCATGAAGAGATTTCTGAGAGAGAGATTTGCAGCTGGAATTAGACATCAAACTCGATGGGGTTTGAGTGGCCAGGGTTTGGCAGAGGGGAGACTGCAGGGGTGGCTTCTGTGACAAACACCTCTTGGCATCTCCACTCCCCAGGCTGCAGCAGACAAAGAACTGCTGCCAGCAGTGCTGTGTGACCCTGCTGTCACAGGCTCCAAAGTTTAATTTCTCGAAGCAGTTATCCACACAGGTTCACTAAGAATAGCAGCACAGATATTATTAAAATATCCTGAGTCTCACCAAATTAAATGTTATGTGCAGTATGTGACAGCTTCATTCCGTGAAAGATGGGTGTGATGATGCCAGTAAGATTCTTTGTGGCCACTTTTATAACAGCTTTATACATAGGGCCAGTTAATTATTTTTTATTGGGAACTTAATCAAAATTATACTAAATACAAATGCAACTATATTTTCCATAGCTCTGTAAAAAATAAATCAAGAAACAAATTTCTAAAATGAAAGCTTTACAAAAGACCATAAAGAACTGTTCCACACTAAAATCAAATTTAAAATCCTGTACCTCAGGCTCTGTTCTCCAGATTCCTGCATCTTAGCTTTTTTCACCTGCAAAGACAAAAATGTTCAGAGCTACAACTAACACAAGCTGGGGGGCTCACAGTGGTGGCTAAATCCACAGCATTGTCCTGCACTCCAGAACTCACCAGTGTAACCTTCTTCATCTCCAAACAAGCCTTTTCCTAATTAGAAAACAAGGGCTAACACTGATCCTGTATAGCACAATTGTCATGTTAGTTATGTTAGTAACAGGTGCCGAGATATACAGCCACAAAAACGGCTGGCAAGGATAATTTTGTGGAAATTGAATAACACAGTCGTAAGTTTTAAAAAAATCTCATTCTGTACAGATTCACCACAAACTTTGCTCTTTTCCCCCTATATTTTAATAATGCATAAAGATAGGAACAGATAGATAGAATGAGTGCTTTTTCTGTAATAAATTAGGAGTTTTGACTCCTAATTAAAACCAATACAGCACTTTTTCTCATTTTGTAGGTGCCAGCTGGATCCTGCTCCTGTACAGGTTATTACACCACAGCACTGGCTTGAACACAAATTCCATTTCTGCAGGCTACAAACATTACTGTGAAACCCTCAGTAGGATGCCAAGGTGAGTTCCTCCTGCAAGAACATGCTCCAAAAATACTACCCAAAATACTACTTCACTCATTCATTATGATCCATCTAATCTCATATTCTGTCACAGAATGACTGACTGGTATCAGGTACTTAAAAGAAATTACCAAGAAAATCTTTAGCTGAATTTTACAGCAGAATCAACGGGCACACCACTGTAAATTAGCTGTACCTTATCTCTCATGCCCTGAAGAGTAAAGACAGTTTTCATTATATGAGGATGGATTTAGAGAGATTTCCTTTTATAGTACAGGCAATTCATTTTTAAACTCCTCAAATAACTGGAGTACAAACTAGATGGTTTTGCTGCTTAGTTTCACATTTTGTGGATATTACTCAGACCCATCATTTGCAGGTCGTGGCAAGCCAGGTTCTGAATAATTTTAAGTTCACATTTCTACTTCATTTGACTTTGTTCCTAAGTCATAAAATTGCATAAATGACATTACAATGTATTTTATAACTAGTTTAACTGAAGAACGTTAAATTCTCACATTAAAAAGGCATCAAAATCTTTTCAATTACAACACATCCAAAGTGCCCTCAAGCACATTATTCTGTTTCTGTGTGCATTTGACAAGGTCTCGAGATTACAAGCATCACTGCTATTGTAACTCTGCAATTTCTTGTTGAGTTTGTACCAGGTTTATTTTGAGTTTGTAACAGGAACAGGACATTAATACAAACATTTCTGCTTAATTCCTATGCTATTATGTTTTAGATACACAATTTTATTCATCTCATAGTGTATTGATAATTCTCTACCAACACTTCTGTGCTGTGTTAAGATCAGTTATTGATAATGCAAACAATATCACAAATACTTCAAATACATGTAGCAAATTTAACCTTCAGACATTCTTCCCCACCCCAACACACTGTTACATTAGTTATTAAAAAATGCTTTCCACTTGTGGAAACAACCAATCACAGGATCTTTTCAAGATCTCAAGCATATGAAGAATTAAAGACTATACACTCTGTAATAACCACCATGCTGATTCTGTCCCTAAAATAGTGAACTTTATTTTCTCTAAAACAGGCTTGAAATAAGTCTGATTTTCTGAGCGTAACAAATAATCATTTTGCATAGAAACATCACAGAGTTCAAGTACATATCACTATTTCTTTCTTACTACTGTCTGTACAATTATAGTAAATTAAATGTACAGCACATTTTACAAACTACAAAGTGCTTTTTGTCCTCTGGATAAATATACTAAGCATAAGCCTTCTTTTCCAATATTAGTTAAAATAACTGTACACTGCAATTGTGAGATGGCTAATTTGGTTTATATTTTCATTTTCAGCATTTTTTTAGATGTACTTACTGGTTGTTCGGGTAAGTCTTGTGGCTCTTCCATGGGTATTACTATTTTAATGCTTTAATGATTCAAATCGTGTGTTCCTCAGCAGTCTTCAAGCCCTGTTAAAGAAAGGTGTTCATAGCTTTATGTACTTTTTGGGGGCTTATCATATAGGCTATCAGAGAATATTAATTGTTATATACTCCTCCCACAAAACTCGTGTGGCCATCTCCCAAATAAAATACAAAATCCATACATGGAAAGATTTCATAAACAAGGGATTTAGCTTTAAGCTTTGAAGATACAGATTTTTCATGCACATGGCACATTTCTACATCAGTTACTCGGCCCACACTGGCTGCAGAAGCTAACACACTAATAGGACACGTGCACCATGATTTTAAAGACACTTTAAATGATCAAGTCTGGTCTACTAGGTCAGTAAACAGCATGATTCAATCTAACCTGTTTTAATTTAGAACATTTATGCAACAATCAAAAAAAAATCAGGACAAGACTGCACACCTAAATGAATTTACACACAGTGCTGTTCCCCATAAAATTCACAAAGCAAGTTCATTATTTCAACTGCACCTTTCAAAAAGAGAAGTCTGATTAAATTTTATAAAACAATTTTGATTTTGGAAGTATTTACCAGAGAGATCTCATATACTACGTCAAAAAGCTGCTGCCTTCCAGGGGCTTGAACTCACGAAAAAGAAAATTTGCAGAATATTTTCACAACCTGATGAACTTTTGCAATTTGCCTGAGTCTTCCTGGCTTCCCCCTCTGCCCACCTGATGTGCACGAGCAGTATAATCTGCGTTTTTGTTCTTTCTCCACCTCATTTTGCAGCCACCTTATTAAAGCCAACCTCGACCTGTTCAGAGCAGCTTTTCCCGTGTGCCTCCTCTGCCACACACCCACACAGCACAACTTCAGGGGACTGCAGAAATCAGCAGAAATGCTGAGAAACACTTCGTGAGTTGGAGAAATCAAACGCAGCAACTTTCTGTGCTGAGGTACAACCTCCACAGCCCCCGAAGCCGAGCTCTAAGTGTCTGTAGAAACGAAAATGCTATTTTACACACCACCCCCTCCTCTAGGAGCTTCTGCTCACCCACCCTGGCCGGAGCATTCATGGCATTATCCCCACGCAAAGGGACTGAACTGGTTTACAGAAACAACTTTCTGGCGTCCTGAAAACCCCATCTCTGATCCTGCCAGACCTACTTAACGTCCCTACACGTGCAGCCTGCCTGCAGCCCGGTCCCACGTGCCACCCACAGGGATGCTATGCAGCCTGCAATAATTCCACATCAACCACGGAAACACAAAAGGTTTCTCCCTCGTTTGAGGCCGTGCCGGGGTGTATTGTATGCACCGGGGTAAAATTTTATTGATGGTTTGAGGATTTTGCAAAGCTGCCACCCCTAATCAAAGCTACTTACTGTTATTGCCTGAACTCTAAGTCAAATGAATTCACAATTAGTTTCTTCCATAATTCAGGTTCTTTGGAGACAACCCTATTCACAACACACAAGTCTAATACAAAGCACTTACTGTCACCTTTACAGTTTTTCCTCCACCAGTTTCACTCAGTTTTATTTTAAATATAAATCTTATTTATTTTTTGTAGAAATAACAGAAAAATTAGGACTGAACAGAAACTCTGCCACTCACAGATTATAAAAAGGAATATAAAATACAATGGCAGAGAGCAAGAAGACTTGAAATTCATGCCAAGAGGTCCTGTCCCTCATCCTTCACTTCTGGTATTTAACACTGTTTTGTTGTGTAATTTCATAGAAAAATCCCAAATGAAACTCTTCAGTATGGAAAAATATTTTACATTCCACTGATCCATACAGCAGGAACTTCCCATGCCATGCTTTGCTGAAAAGCTGTGAGTAGTTCTTTAATTTTGGTTTTGAGAAAGACTTAAATAATTACAAAGACAAAAAGATTCTCAGAGAGAGTCCCACTGGAATTTGTTACATGCTTGAAGAAAACACTCTTTCCAAATAAGCTGGGCACCTTGTAGCACCTGGAAGCAGATGACTGAACCAAAGCAGATGAACACAAAGTGCCTGCCTGAATGGCAAGCAGAACTTGACCTCTGGTGGCTTCACCCCTTCTCCCAGGGAATTGAGAATTCCAAGTGAGAGCTCGGCCAAGGGTGGTTCTGTGCCTTCCCTGCACCTCCAGAACGAGCAGCACAGGCAGAGGACACCTCACACCCGAGGTGTGCCCCAGGCTGAGGCTCCAGAGACAAAGCAGCAGAGTGTGGGTGTGTGTGGGTGGGTGTGGGTGTGGGTGTGTGGGTGTGTGGGTGGGTGTGTGGGTGTGGGTGTGTGGATGTGTGAGATGGAGGCACTGAACACATCTGGGAGCAAGGGCTGAGGGCATCCTCCCCCAGCCACGGCCAGCAGCAGCAGCAGCAGCAGCAGGAGGTTACAGTGCTGTGGGACAGGGGACAGCTCCTGCCTCTCCCGACCTCCTGCACCCCACTCCTGCCTGCCTCACACTCCCTCCTCCATGCCCAGGAGGCTTGTGCAGTTAAAGAGCAGTCTGCATGTAGGACCTGCCAAGGGAAAAGAAAGAGAAAGGAAAACCAGAGAGACCCAAGCACAGTCTTTGTGCTAAGATGATGTCAGAAAGATCAGCTCTGGCCCCACACAGCCCTGTTCCAAGGGAGCCAGCAGGATGAGAGTCAGGAAAAATACACAAGCAGAGCAGCAGGATGTCTGTCCCTTTTCAACCACAGCCACGGTAAATGAAACTATAATTTTATCATCTACTTGATGTTTCACTTTGATGAGCAGAGACATGACAGCAATAAATACACAACATCCTTTCCACCTGTATCACCCACCCAAGCACCAGTTCTCATGCAGAGCAGGCCCATATCTTCTTGAGCTGGGCACAGAAAATCCTTGGATCCTGGCAGGGCAGGAACCTCTCCCTGCTGCTCTCCTCCTGCACTGAATGAAGCTGCTGTCAGCTCCAAGGCTGAAGCCAACAGAGGAGGATCCAGGGAGCAGCTGCTCCTGCCCTGCTCATATCCCTCAGAGCCCTCTCCACCACAGTTAATGCCCAGCTGCCCTCCAGCCAGCCCCAGCCCTGGGTGGGTACATGCCCTAGGGTCCCAAGCCCCTCCAGGTGCTGTTGGACACCTCTTGGCCCAGCATGAGAGATCTGAACTGCCTAGAGCTTGAAAAACAAAATAAAATGCTAAAAACAAACCCAGAATCTTGCACTTGCTCAGCCTGGGCTGCCTCAGAGGAGCACACTGAGCCAGCAGTTCACCAGCAACAAAGATGATTTTTAAAAACTGAAAATACACAACGTTTTTTTTTTGCTGGGGTTTTTGTTTGGTTGGTTTTGTTGTTGTTTTTGGTTGTTTTGGGGGCTTTTTGTACATCAAATCTCAAAATTAGATTTTAACTTGCATAAAATTCAAGCGAACTGCACTTCAAGTATGCTTATCACACACACATTATTATGGAACATTTTTAAACCCTAAGCGAACACAACAGCAGGGGTATCAGAGATTCAGGTGGTGAGAATGCTCTTGTGGGCCAATGGGTTTGTGAATGAGAAAAACAGTACAAAATGGAAGCTAATGTGCAAGAAGCCATTAAATGAGCTGCTGCAATGAAAGAAACATTGAGAAAGGCGAGTCCATTGTTCTGCTTCTGGAAATTCGCAAAGTACCACAATTTTGTCCTTTACGGGATGATTTTTGTTCATTACCTGATGAAAACTATTCTGTAATGTGTGAACTAAACACCAGGTTTTATTTGATCTAGATTTGTTTTGAATAACCATCCTGTTTAATTCCAACTTTGCATGGAGCACCAGCAATGCAAAATATTAAGAATTGGGTCTGTATGTCATTTTATTTTGTTCACTCAAATTGAGACACGTTATCTAAACTTCAAACCAGAAGGCACCACAGCAGAGGAATGGGCTGCACAATCACTCTCAGCAGCTGCCTTCTGCTCTGCACATCATCTTGATGCCAATAATTCAACATTAAAAGCCCTGGCAAGTGATCTCCAGCTTCTTGCACTAAATCGTGTTTTAAAAATCCTGAAATACAAGGTTCAGCTTGGTCAGGCTTTCTCAAACTAGATACACTGGACAGAATTTCTGCCTGCTATGAGCAGCACCTGGATAGACTGCTATTTACTTCCAGCTTGTGCTTTTCAAGCCCATCTGCCTTGGCTTTGAATATAAAGTTTCATGCAAGAAACAGTTCTCTCAAGCTGCAAATAATTAAAGTCAGGATACTGAGATAAAACCAACACACAGTAATTATACTGGTTAGGAAGAAAAATGGTTTTGTATTACTTTAAGACAGTCATTATTTCCCTAAGAACAAAGCTTTGATTGGGGTAATGAAATTCCATCTATTAAACAGAGTTGAAATAAAATCATAGGATCATTTATTTCGGAAAAGACCGCCAAGATCATTAGGTTCAACCAATACCCAGCACTGCCAAGGCCACCACTAACCCATGTCCCCAAGTGCCTTGTCTTTTAAATGCCCTGAGGGATGGTGACTCCACCTCTGCCCTGGGCAGCCTTTGACGGCCCTTTCAGAGAAGAAATTCCCCCTGATATCCAATCTAATCGTTCCCTGGCACAGCTTGAGGCCATTTTCTCTTGTCCTGTCCTTTGTACGCTGGGAGCAGAGCCTTACTCCACCCTCCTGTCAGGGAGTTGTGGACAGCAAGAAGATCCTCCCAAGCCTCCTCTTCTCCAGGCTGAGCCACACCAGCTTCTCCTCGTCAGATCTGGGCTTCAGCCCCTTCCCCAGCTCTGTTCCCTGCTCTGGACATGCTCCAGCCCTTCAATATCTGTATTGTAGTGAGGTCTTTCTCTGATGAGCCTCCTTCCAGCCACTTTTCCCCCAGCCCGGAGTGTTCCATGGGATTGTTGTGCTTAGGATGCACTCCATTCCCTTGCCCAGAACATTCATAAAGAGATTAAGCAGGATTGGTCCAATACTGAACCCTGAGGAACTGCACCAGTGCCTGGCCCCACAGAGATGTAGTTCCATTCTCTGGGCCCAGCCATGCAGTTAATTTTAAACCCAGCAAAGAGTACAGC